CCGCACCGCTTGTGCTGCCGCCGGCTGCTGCTTTATGCAAGAGCAGAAGAGGCGGCGTGTACCTAGTCACTGGCATCTAAAGGTGCTAACGAAACGGCCGAGCAGTGGGGTGTCTGTTAAGCTGTTCTCAGTTTGGCTGTTGCCTGTGCTTGAAGGTTTTGTTCGGGAGGGGCCTTGTTTTTTGTGTTTTCAAGTCTTTCTTTAAAAATATATTTAAATGTATTTTGCAGATAGAAAGTTTGGAGAAGAGTCTGGAAGACTTGCTGACCAGAGTAGATGAATTTGTGGGAATGTTAGACATGGTACGTATAACTTGCATGCAGCTTTCCTTTTTGTGGTCAGAATACAGTTAAGTATGTGTTTGTTTCTTAAAATGGGGCCCAGATGGAAGGTAGCCTTTAATATGGCAGACAGAGACCAGTATGAAAACACATTTGATAAATAGGTAATTCACGGATGAAAACTACTGAACGTTCATGTAGGAGCAACGTGGTATGCCCTTGTAGCTGTATTATTGCATATTTGCATTTATATATTTGTGCATGTGCATACACATACACGGAACCTCATTTTGAACAGGACACCAGCAAATGTTTCAAAGGATAATATGACGTTGTGCTTTTCCTTTTAAAAAAAAAAAAAAGTGCACACCTGTTCACAATCTAAATGTTTAACCAGAGTTACCAAACTTTTGAAACTAGTTTTGGTCTTAGGGGACCTTTTCTTACCTTTCATTGGAAAGACGGTTCTGTTTTCACTGTCTCGTAAGAAAAACCAGAAAACTGGTTGGAAAGAGCCTATCGGCTGACTTGGGGTATACAGGCAGTCTTTTAAATCATGGTGCACGTGTTTCTCTTACCCTGATCTAAGGAGAATTTCACTGTAATTTTTCTGTCAATGAGACAATGATGTTGTGGCCTGGCTTTTTTTAGTGAAGCTGAGGAAATGTACAGATATGTACAGAAATGTAAGTCAAGATTTTAGTTTAATATATTTGATTCTCCAATATGCCATGGGAAATACTTAGTTGCTTAGTTCTGGTAAGGTTAGCAGTATATTTTGGATATAAGACAAATATTGTTGTTTGCTTGTGCAAAACAAATTTGGATCAAAGGTACTTACTAAACTATATAAGGACGGTAGCTTATTTTTAATCTAGTACTTTATTTTATTGGAGCACAGTTTTAGTTTCCAGAATGAAATCTGGGTATTTATGATTTTCTTTGATTCATCAGTTTCATTCCAGGAAACATTAGACCTTGTCTCTAATCAAGGGAGTTAATAGCAGGTAATAAATTGTAATATGTTTGTGTCTACCCAGCACTTAAACTATGATGCTAAAACAGTATTAGTTTTATTTTTGCTGTTGCAAAACAATGTCTTATTGTTTTAAGGGTAGTTAAGAAAAAATAAAGCAGCAAATTATACTGAAGCCACGTCAAAAATAAATACTGAAAAAGTGGTACATAGGAAATAAAAATCTAGGGAGAAACGCATCAGGATGTATAGCATATATTTGTGATTTACATTGTTACTCATTCAGCATTTTCATTTTCTGTGCCACATGTGAGATATTTTCACTAATTGCAGTAGATCTTACAACATCTTTGATACTGAGCAAAATCGGAAATGGACCAGGTATTTTCTGGCTGAGTCAAAAGAAGATAAACCTTCAGTAAGATCTGCTGCTGTTTGGGAAGAAATATGCATACAGACGGTTTTGTTCTATGGAGACTTTGGTATACATATGTCCTTTTCTGCTGCTTACAGCAGAAGTAAAACAAGTCAGGGAAGAGATGGAAGAAAGTGTGCTACTGACAGAAAAATATTTTCTGGACCATCTTTTAAGAAAACATGTCTGATTGGAAGGGTCACATCAGATTGGGTGCAAAACGCCTGATCCTTAAAAGGACTTGAAGAATGAAGTTCTATTTGAAGTCGCTACAATTTGAGCGGGACTTCTTATTCTTGATCCCAACCCCTGATTTTACTGCTGATTCGCTCTCCCCTCGGTTGGCTTTTTAGGTTTTTGATCTCTGAAATGGGGATAATATCAGCATTGGTAAAATGCAGCTGCGCTCCTATTTCTCTGCCTAGCATAATGCACCTGTCTTTAAACACAAAGCCCTAGTTTTATTGTATGTTACATTTTGTCTCATTATTTGTTTTCAATCCCACGTCAGTCGATTTTGTGTCGTTTGTTTGAATCTTCTTTAGATTCGAAGTGATTCCTCTCAAGTTGTCAATGAAAGTATACCTCAAATTTACACAAAAGCTACAGAAATGAGACGCATATACAGGAAGATTGACAAACTAGAGGTATGTATTTGACATTTTAGGTGTGTTTCTGTTTTCAGTAGTGAGGAAAAAATCAATGATAGGCTATTGCATGTGCGTATAGAAGGGGGTCCTCTCTAGAGCTTCAGATCCCTTTTGCTTTGAATATCCGATCCAGCTTCAATACTTCAGGGCTAGTAAATGCAGAGAACACAAAGAGTTCTAATTTCTGGAGGCAGTTTTGTTTTTCAATTTATTGCTCGAATTGAGGCAACCGTTTTTCTCTTTTCTGAAAGCACTAGTAGCACTTTTTTTGGTAGCACCTTTCAAAGTTACTGTCTTCTGAGACTAGTAGAATGAGAAGGATATTGATCCCTCCTAAAACTTCAGTACTGCAACTTCAGATCCTTGATCCCGTTTTTAATAGAAAGTTAGGCAGTTAAAGTTTAAATTATGCTGACTGTCATCGTAACTTGATATTCCAAAGCAGTGAGATAAGAACAAAGAATGTTAAGGGCTAAGGTGCTAAATTTATAAGTTTAAAGCCAAAAATACAAGAGACTTTCATATTTCGCAGGCAAGCGGAAGAAGGGAGTTAGCAAGAGAAACTTGCCAAAATGAGGTGAAATATATAGCCGCAGAGTTTATGCTTCTAACAGAAGCAGCAGTGTTAAAATCCTTGTCAGGCTGTTGATAAAAGGGCCTGCTAACAGTCACAGGAAATCGAGGAGACCAGTTTCTAGATCATAAGTATTAGAAACTTGAATCCACAAAGTAGGGTACTGAAGATGGGATCTGTACTTGATTTTTAATATAAAAACAAATCTTCAATTCCAGAAAAGCTATACAACAGTATAAGTTTAGCGGATAATAGCATTGTCTGAAATGAAGTTATCTACCCCTCAGACCAAAGGAGAACGTTACTCATTGCTGTTAAATTTATTGGTACGGTAAGAAATGCAGACAGGTATCCATATACCCAAGCATAGTTTAATTATCACAGTCACTAGCTTAGCTTTCAAGTAAAAAGGTCTTTTTGGAGAATGACTCTGCCGACTGCCTCTGAGGCTTGTGGATGTGGTTTTATTCAGAAACCAGCAGAGGTTCTCAATTTAACACCATATAATAGAAGTTGTTTTCTTACAGTCTTTCTGAAGTGTTCAGTGTCATTGCATTGATAAACATTTAGTGCAAAAAGCATTCTAGAACAGAATACCACAGACTGTTTTCAGTTTACTTATAGCATTACAAGTATATGAATCTGGTTTCTGGTAGCGCTTAGTTATCTCTGATCCGAATCCACCATCTTTGACGGCACTTATTTTTGTCTATGCTTGTGTAGCAGAGTTCTCTAAAACTATTAATGAGTGAAGTAAGTGTTGTTCAGGTTAGAGACCCTGTTTTACCATATGTTGTGTGTTTGAATCTTGATAGTCTTCAAGTACTGCTTTTCTGAAGATATGTGATCAGTGGAGTCCTGTAACAAAGGTGCTGCTCATCCTAAGCTCCGCTTGCTAACTCAGCAGCACCATGGAAAGGGGTGGAAACAATCTCTCCGTCGGGGTCTCAGCATGATTAAGAAAGCAAACTTGCTGCTGTGTTATTTGAATTCTTAGCGTGGCCTGAAAGGAAGGACACAGGGTTACCAGGTTTAATGTGGTTCCCTGATTTTTGGCCTTTTATTCTTGCTCCTTCACTGCTCTCTCCATTATGCTAACATGTCTGCTTGAGTATTCGCGCAGAAAACCAGAGCCAGCAATTGATCTCACTGAATATATTTAAAGAAAAAAAAAAATCTGGCAAGGTTGTGTCTAGCTGGACCAATTCAGTAGTTTATTTCCACGTACAGCTACATAGGCACTTGTGCGAGAAAGCTGGGTAGTACAGAGGCAAAACCAGGGATGAGGATAAGGTGATTCTGGGAACATATAAAGCAGCGTTGCTTCTGAACAACTAATTATAATTAATCCGATTTTAAAATAAAATTAACGTTAATTTTAATCAAATATAATGAGATTGAAAATTTAATATCGATGCAAAAAAGCTAAAACATAGTAAGTTTTATGGAAATATCTGTCTTAGTATTTCAGCACATCTAAATTGCAGTATAGTTTTATTATTCCTTAGATTAAGAGTTGGAAGAGAAGGAAGAGGGGAGTTCCCAAAAAAGTACTTGTATACCCCACTATCATTTTCAGAAGTGACCTTATTTTCACTGTGACAGCAACCTGTGGTCTGGGAGGTACTACATGGAGAACACAATGTGGCTTTTTGGATAAAGCCTCCAGTCAGAATGAGCTGTCGTAATTGGACTTAATGCCTCTAAGTAGCATGCTGAGAGGGAGAATCTGTGCAGGAGTCTGCCTTTGGTGTAGTTTGTTGATACTGTTTGTTAGTTGAGCCCCAGTAAAAATTTTAGGCTTCTCTAAAGTACTGAAATAAAGGGTGAACGGATAGGGCGTTCTAGTTCATCTGTTTGTAACGTCGCTTCCAATATTTTAATCCAAAATTCAGTCTTCTCCTTCACTAGAATAAAGTTTATTAGCGAGGTGATTTGAACATAGTGGGAAGTTCAGTGCTTTGTTCTCAGAACAGTAAGTCTGGAGAGAGAGAAGCATATGCAGAAAGTGTTTACTATCCGAATGTGTTTAGGTCTCCTGGGAATTAGGGATGACTGTGGTATCGCATAGATGAACTTGCTTGTGTGTGTGTGTTGGTTAGTGTTTTGTCATTTATGTAATTCATCTTCGATAGTTAAAACAATGCTGTCTTAAGTCAGATCTGGTCTACCTACTTAGGAACTCAGTTGCTGATATAGTGCTTGCTTTGTGTTGGAATTTGTTGCGTCTCGTATGTTAAACCGCTGGTAAACTTCAGCTGTGGGAACAATTTCACTCTTCTCACTTTCCAGCCTGTAGGTCAAAAGAGTAAAAGTTGAGAGGCTCTGTCACGTCAGAGGCACGGAATCCTTCAGGACTGGGCCCTCACAAGCTAGAGATAAGTGTGTAAACAGAAATCACTTGTATTTCCGTAGCAGCACACTTCTTGTAGGTGCTGGAAGAACACACAAACAATTCTAATGAGGAGCGAGTGCAGTGTGTTGGTGTTTTCCTCAGGATTCATTACCATATCAACTTAGTCTTTTAAGGACAGTTGTCACCAGTCTACATTTTTACACTGGTGGTTTGTGTTGGATACAGTAATTTAGTCAAATCTCTTAAGCACTCGGGGTTATAAACCACTTCCACCACTTCAGCATGGGCAGCATGGTGTGCGCGCATATGTAGAGAGGATTGTTTTCTTCTTACAGTAATATCTGTGCAAACCGTTGCTATGCCTTCGATATCAAAACTGAGTAAATGATGGGCATTCACTCCTTAGTTCATGCTGAGCCATAGCCTTGGCTCTCTTCTACTTGATTAGCATCACTCGCTGCAAAATAGCAAAACGCACAGAGCCTGTGCTTGGTGAAGATTTTTCTGGCATGACAGACTCTCAAGCTTCTGCAAAAACTGGTAACAATCAGTACACTTATATAAATTCCATTTCTTATAGAGTGTGTTTAAAACATAAAGATAGAGGAAGGAGATCTTGAGTCTGTTTGTTACGCCATTGTTGGGAGAGTCCCTCGGAGGGCTTGGCCGTTCAAAATCACGTTGCTAACCTTGCTAGGCCTAGGCTGACTGTTTTAAGCGTGTCTTCGCGAGGAGTTAGGGCACAGGTCTAGTCTTGTCCTGGAAGATCTTGATTCAGTGTCTTTCTCGTCTGTGGACTTCCTCAGAAATTGAATTTCTGTGACCTAGTTCCTTATCTGTAAAAATAAAAAAGAATGGCTGTTTAAACATAATTTCATACAAGCAGTATAAGGTATCTGCTGTTAGAAAAGCATTCAAGCATAAGTACCCAAGTTATACCAGACCTTGTCTGGGGTTCTTGCTGAAGATGCGGAGTTGAAGTGCTGTACATAGGAAAGTGCCTGCTTATTGTTACTATAAAAAAATTGGAACTCTTCTTCAGAAGTGAACTTGAAGAGTGGCAAAGGACAGTGAGCCTGAATGCTGGAACCTCTTCTGTTAAACAGAACTGTCTTGAAAACCTTTACTTGTTGATCACTAGTACCTTCTGAAAGTTTAATTTTTTGTATACCTAAAACACTGAATAAGTTGGAAAGTGTGCTAATTGCCAACTACCTATGCTTTTTATCTAGCTTGTGAAAACAGTGTTCAGTTAGGTAAGCTATATTTATGTCATCTTGCAACTATTAAAAGCATATAGTTTGCAACAAGCTAAATTTCCCTAAGACTTAGTTATATAAAAGATGAATAGGAAAAGGAAGACCAATTGTTTTATTAGATTTAACCTGCAGTTGCAGCCTTTTATGTATCTCACAAGTAATTTCTAGCAGATTTCTAGATTGGCCTTTTGGGTGGAAGGGAAATAAATAACGGAGTTTTTTATGACTTCTTATCATTCAAGTAATGGACTCCTCACCACTGTCCTGCAATATGTAATCCTGTTTTAATTTATTAGTAGATAAGATGGATTATCTTCTCATCTAGGCTTTTGTGAAGATGATTGGGAATTGTGTCACTGGAATGGAAGAACGGGTCATAAAGGCAGAAACAGACCTTGGAACTTTTCCAAGCACATTCAAGAAAATCTGGCACACAATCAGTGTACCATCCTTCCTTAATGTAAGTATGCTTTTGTTATCAAGTGAACAGCTTAATTGCTCTGCTCACCAGTGTGGATGATTAAAATAATAGTAATGTGTGTTGCACATACATCTGAACTTAAAACTTACATGCTGCATTAGAATTTTTGCCAAGTTCTCAGACTTAATCCAAAAAAAAACCAAAACTGAAAAATCATAAATTCTTATGAGTCACATTCCCACATAAGTTTGAACATATGAAGAAGAGAACATGAAAGGCACAAAGCAAGTAAATAATGAACAAAACTGTAGTATTTTCCCTGATCTCTTATACTATGCAAAGCAACCATGAAGAGGAGCCTGTCCAGACAAAACTTTTAAATGATTAATACTGCATTGATACAGTCACTGCTGAAATGTTATGAAGAAAGGAAAAAAGAAAAAGATAAGCTGTACCTCACAACCTTTTTAAGATAAAGGTGCTATTTATACACAACCCAGAGTTTGCAATCATTTAGGTGCTTTGTTAAATGTTTTCTCAAAAAGAAAGTGTTTTTCTCTACCTTTCCTTATTGCCACTTGTGCACTGTTTCTGTACAGAAGACTTGGAAGTGCTCTGTCAGGTACGTTTCCAGAAAATGCCATACCTAGCCTTAAAAACTGGCACTGTGTGCCAGTTTTAAAATATCCTACTTTCTGGCCCTAGCATGAAAACCTGATGTTTCTTGACATTACCTGCCAGTATGCCATATATAATGCTACTTTGGCATCTTGTCAGCACCCAGATTCTTTTACCCTTTCCTGTATTCTTCCTGTACTAGCTCAGGTCTCTGTCTCATAATACTGGTGACAGTACTAAAATAAAGCAGGTTTGTGGAGGGGGAGAGGGAGATGAAAACAACTTTGTAGCAGTTTAAGTATCTGTGTTCTTACCTATTGGAAGCATATGTGGCAGCAGCGAAAAGAAAAACAGGTATAAAAGGAAAGTATGTATTGTCTTGGTAGGACTCAGCTGAGGAAACCTGTTGCTCACTATTATCTGTGTAGTCTTCAAGGTAACTTCCTGCTGCCTTGTTTTCCTTCTTGTTTAAGTTCAGAATGATACAAGAGTAATTTTCTTAATTAAAAAAAAAAAGAAAAAGAAAAATCAATCCAAAGCTGCTATTTCTAAGCCAATTGCAAAAAAAATTGTGGCAGTTGTGGTGCAGCCGTGAAAATTTCCATTGGTATTTTCCTTTTCGTCACCAAAAACAGTTGTGCTAATGACAGAATTATCTTCAAAGCAAAAAATCCAAGCATTCTAATAAAGTCATTTAGTGTTGCATAGGAATGTTTTGTTCAGCTTATTAGCTTCTCCACAGTTAATAAGGTAGAAAGTCTTTGAAAGCATCCCCAAGCTTGATTTGGCACGTCCATCAGTTTCTTGGTTTGAGCGTGACTAGCAATAAGCTGAATGCTCAGAACGTAGGGGTATTAATCACATAACTTTTAGGCAGTTCACTGATCCACAGTGAAACTGAATATTCCATAGGAAAGTATCTGTTTTCAGAAGCAAACACAGGCATGCCAGTAAGAAAAAAGCTTCCTGACCCTTCTCTGAATCAAAGTGCGCATGGAGGTTTCTGGCCATGCCTAATGTTTAACTAGCTCGGACAATGTATCTGCCCTTTGGAAAGGGCTGTACTGATCTCATGATTTCCAATGTAGCTGACACTTTCTTACAAAATTCTTATTTTAATCCAGTGTCTTGCTCTCTTCCCGGTTAATTGTGTCTGGTCCTTCACATGCAGGATACATTTTTGTATTACTTAAACTGTGTGTTTGTAATCTCGCTTTCAAATTTTGCCCCAAATTCTGCCCTTGTGTTCACCAAGCAATGAAAAGTAGAGCTCTGTAAGACTTGTAATATTAGGAGGTGTACTCGGACAACCGTGGGTACTGTGCCTGGCTTTGAATTTCCTCACCAGACTGAAATCAAAGTTCTGTTTTTAAAATTATTTCCTCTCCTATGTTGCTGCGTGAGAAAACCCCTTGCAAGCGCATGACTTCACATAGAGATATTCCTGGCAGTGAATGAAGACATTTGCATGTGTGCAGGAAGGGGATGACTTCAAAGACATTTTATTTTTGTCAAAACCTCTGATACAGAAAATACTTATAATATCTGCTATTTCTAACGGATTTCATCTTTGTCTACATTTTTAATTTCATTACAATTGACTGGCAAAACAAATTCAGAGAAGTTAGGGGTATGGGGAAGTTGAGGTTAAATATAATTTAAATCCTGTACATCCAACAGTTTATAAGGAAGTCAGTTTTCCTGCTATGAATAGAATTTTATATAAACTAGAAAAATGGGTTATTTCATATTGAATGTAAGAAGTATTCAGCTCAGCTAAATACTGGGAAAAAAATCCACTTAGATGTTACTTAGGTATACTTATTTATATCCTCGTTTTGGCACTGTTATTTACTTGGCCTTCAGAATGCTTTATTTGCTTTGTCTTTATTTTTGGTGAAGAATCCAGTTATCTCAACCCCAAGGGGCAAAGCAGTACCTGAAGAACTCTGCCTACAAACTGACAGAGTTCTGCAAAACGGTTTATCAAAATCTTTCCAAGAGCCCCCTAGTTAATTATTTTTTTAATTACTTAAATCTTGATTGTAAGCCCTCTATCTAGACCCTATACTGAAAAATGGCTCTGTGCTGCAGCACTGGCTCTGTGTTGCAGCGCAGCATTCTGCACACGCAGAAAGGCTGACGAGCTAGTCAGCAGTGGTCCTTGTTACTCCCTTTTTCACATCAACCATTTAGTGTAGCAAAACAACATACAGTTCATATTTTTCAGCTTTTCTCCAGTCTTCTGCCATACTATTTTCAACTCTATGTTGTAGTACATATAGTCTAACATATACGTGGTGAAGAAGCTCAGGAGGAGAGGCAACCTTCTTGAAACAAAGATTTTTGCAGGTTTCTCTTCTATTAAGACTTTATTAACTAAGTAAATGAAAATACATGTTATGGTTAAATCAAAGGAAGCAGCTGAGGAACTTGAAGACTAGAGCAGGAAAGGCAAAGGTGTATAGCTTTGAAAGGATGAAGGCCCTATTGACCAGACAGCTGGAAACGATTACCTGTTTCGCTCTTGCAGAGCTGGGCTACTGTATACTTTCCAAGACTGAGTCTGTCAACAGGATAGGATGGGAAACATCAGAACCTGTTTGTGGTTGGGTTTTTTTGTTTTTTTCCCTCTTTACTTGCATTAAGAATATGCCAGGCCCATCTGAGCCTTGATGATTAAAGAGTCACCTCACTATGGATGCCCTTAGAGCTCCTATTGTTTTTCATTTTAGCTTTGCAGGTTTTGTTCTGAAACTTGCTTTTTTAAGAAGGCAAAACATAAACTTTATCTCATTTGCAGAAATCGTCTTCCTCGCGACAGCAACAAACCCTCTATGAACCTCCAACCCTTTTCAAGACTGAAGACTATTTTCCCTGTCTAAATGAAGCACCTTATTCATGATTTTTGTTTTGGGGTTGATACGAATCAGCCAGAAGAGAGAAAGCCGAGTGAACAAAAGAAGTGCTAACCTCAAAAATAGCTGCATTTCTGAGCATTATTAATGGCATATTGTCATTCTGATTGTCATTGTCTTCCTTCAGGCAGTATTTTCAAGTACATTATTTCAAGTCTTCCTAAAACACAGTGCAAGTTTGCCGAGCATATTTGGAAAGGAATTTAAGAATACATCTGCATTAGGTTTTTCTTTTTTTTAATAGGGAAATAATAGGAAACAATTTTTTATATATACATATATCTCTTTTAACACTTAAATTTCTGTGCTGCTGCAAGTGTAAATAGCTATACCACAAGGGTGTGTGTGTGGTGTGTGGTTTTTTTGTTTAATGTATCCAGCTGAGGTAAGATTAAGAGGAAAGCTATGCACAAATCACTGCCAGCAAGTTTTGGCACTTGCCCCTGCAGTTTGTATAGAGGAATGTACCGTATTAGAAAACACAGAGGTAATTGTTCTGCTGTTCTTTGAATTGTGAAGTCCAGCAAGCTAAGCATAGAGCTTAGCTTAGAGCTAAGAATAGAGCTGTGGCTGCTGTAGAACTTCCAGGGGAATTATCTGAGCTTGAAAGGTCACTCTAGTATAAAATTAAAACTTTGACTTTTGTAAATACATGACAATTATATGTGTATGATTACCAAAGGTCTTGTAATTTAACCAATTTAATTAAAGCTGAGAACTTTGCTTGCGTGGAATGTTTCTAAATGTGATGATCACAGGAAAAACTGTCTTCTGTGTTTGTCTGCCCTACAACATGGCTTATTCAGTAAATCTTATTGCATCTTAGAAGCTTAATAGGTGATGCCTGGTTACGATAACATTTGCTTTACCTTGAATTTCTTAATAGTAGCAGTGACAGTGGTAGTTTAGTAGATCAGCCCTGCTCTGTTTTAGTTCATAGGGCAAGAATTCATATGAAGATATCTTCCTTTCTTAGCTTAAAGCAGAGTTCTTATCCAAGGCTCACTTTCATACTGCAGGATGATCTACAGCAACATGAGTGTCTGGAAAGTCTCTAATTTTGGTTCAAGTTTTCAAATGGTTGCTGGTGTCTTCCACCTTCACGTACTATCATCATACAAAATATTTCAATATTCTCAGAAGGGAAAAAAGAGAGGCTCTGTGGGCAGAGGGAAAGTGAAGTGATTTTTTTTCTAGAGCAGAGGAGAGGCATAGCTATTCCTACTCCACTGAGGAATACAAGGCTTACTGCTTACTGTCTTGTTTTGCATTCTGTCTTATCCGGGGATGCAAAGCTCAGTCAGGTAAATAACTCAAGCTTTCATTGCTGCTTTCTTCTACTATCCACCTGTCTCTAAAAATGCAGACGTTACCAGCTTCTTGTTTTAGTCTTTTTCCAACACTGACTGCTTGGCAGTGTCTGTAATAAGTTCAATAGAGAATGCTGTATGCGTTTTTTGATTTTTGGTGGGTTTTATATAGCATCCAAGGACAAGCTAGATGAGAGAGATGGTGCAGTATTCTTTTGCCCAATCTGCCATGTTCCTGTTTACATCCTTTGCTGAGAGGAAGGGGGGAAACAAATGTTTTGAGTCCCCACAGAGCCGGCTCCATCCTATAATTTGTACCTGTCTTTCATTTTTGTGGCACTACTGCTCCCACCCTCAGCAGTCTCACTACCATAGTTCCAAAATGCTAATTCCAGTGTGTGTTTCCACATTTAGGTATTACCTGCTATATCAGTCACATCCTTAAGATGCCATGAGTAATCCACAGAACACCTCCCTGGCAAGTGGTTGTAATGTTTGCTCATCGAGCTTGCATTTTTTCCACGTCCAGCTACCACCTCCCTCAGTAGCTCAGACATGCTTGCAAATAGCTGTTAGCAAGTAGGCTCACGCTCTACAGCAGAAACAACGCAAGCGGTCCTATTTCTGCCGCTCCAGCTACCTACTTCTCCACTGCTGTACCGCAGGTTAAGGATTAATTTCTTCAATTGGCTGCTTTACTTTTGAGCTTTTTTTACCCATCCTCTGCCTATTCAGGTATTGGCAACTAAATGTTCTTTTGCCAAATATTTCTCAAAACATGTTCATGTGCGTGCCTCCATTTCACTAATTGCAATCGCCACAGCTACGCAAGCCAGGTATGCCCCCCCCCCCCCACCCCCCCCCCCAAAAAGG